CATCAAGACACACCCTGCAGACTCCACAGGACACGCCCTGCAGACTCCACAGGACACGCCCCGCAGACTCCACAGGACACGCCCTGCAGACTCCACAGGACAGGAGCGCAGACTCCACAGGACACGACCCGCAGACTCCACAGGACAGGACCCGCAGACTCCACAGGACACGCCCCGCAGACTCCACAGGACACGCCCCGCAGACTCCAAAGGACACGCCCCGCAGACTCCACAGAACACACCCCGCAGACTCCAAAGGACACGCCCCGCAGACTCCACAGGACACGTCCCGCAGACTCCACAGGACACGCCCCGCAGACTCCACAGGACAGGAGCGCAGACTCCACAGGACACGCCCCGCAGACTCCACAGGACACGCCCCGCAGACTCCACAGGACACGCCCCGCAGACTCCACAGGACACGCCCCGCAGACTCCACAGGACACGCCCTGCAGACCCCACAGGACACGCCCCGCAGACTCTACAGGACAGGACCCGCAGACTCCACGGGACACGCCCAGCAGACTCCACAGGACACGCCCAGCAGACTCCACAGGACACGCCCTGCAGACTCCACAGGACACGCCCAGCAGACTCCACAGGACAGGACCCGCAGACTCTACTGGACACGCCCCGCAGACTCCACTGGACTCGCCCAGCAGACTCCACAGGACACGCCCAGCAGACTCCACAGGACACGCCCAGCAGACTCCACAGGACACGCCCCGCAGACTCCACAGGACACGCCCCACAGACTCCACAGGACACGCCCGCAGACTCCACAGGACACGCCCGCAGACTCCACAGGACACGACCCGCAGACTCCACAGGACAGGACCCGCAGACTCCACAGGACAGGACCCCCAGACTCCACAGGACAGGACCCGCAGACTCCACAGGACACGCCCAGCAGACTCCACAGGACACGCCCCGCAGACTTCACAGGACACGCCCCGCAGACTCCACAGGACACGCCTCGCAGACTCCACAGGACACGCCTCGCAGACTCCACAGGACAGGACCCGTAGACTCCACAGGACAGGACCCGTAGACTCCACAGGACACGCCCTGCA